CAAAATAAACATAGAAATGTTCCACAACATATTTAAATCAAAACATTTGAAAAATTTTATCCCAAAGACTAAGTGTGTGTTTGTTTACAAAATAACTCAATTCATACTCAAAATCTAAGGGCTTGATTGTTTATGAAATAATTTGTTCAAAATTATATATTTTAGCTAGCCATAGTTAATTTTGAAAAGGTAGTATGATTAGTTGTTAGTGGAATTTTAAAAATATATTAAAATTATATTTAAATTAAAATGATTAAAATTGATTTGATGTAAAAGTAAGAGATAAATGATTGGAAATGATGAGTAGTTAAAAATATGTGAGTTGATGAATAGTGAATTAAAGTTGATGTGACGTGTAAGAATGATAGGTTTGTATTATTTAATTATATGAGTAATATAAAGATAGTGGGGTTGAATTAAAGTTGAGTTAAATTTTGAGTTGCAATAAAAGTGAGTAATTTAATTAATAAACAAACAAGCCCTAACTAATGTGTACAACGATGTGTACAACGTTGGTTAAAATTAATTAAGTGCAGTAGGTATCTTTCAAAATCTTAACTCAAAATTTTCCCACTAAACTTTTGAAAACTATGTGTACAACGTTAGATCTAATGAATCTCGTGCAGTAGGTATCTAATGAGAACCGGACTTTCGAATGGACACGGACCGTAGTGGCGGGAGAGTTAATATTATTTATGTTGGTTAAGTAATTAGATTGGATTATTGTGTTAGTTATAGTTTAAATATTTGAATGGTCGGTTAGGATAAATTTGAATATTTGAATGGTTGGTTAGGATAAGTTTGAATATTTGAATGTTGTTTGTATTATAAATAGGACCTTTGTATGCATATTTGGAATCAAGTTTAAAGTAATAAAAATTAAGAAAAAGGCTCATTTTTGAGTACTTTCTTCGTGAAAAACCGAGGCCGATAGTGCAGGTTTTTTACTTATTAATGTGTTGACCAGGGGCAGAGCCAGGATTCAAAATCTACCCGGGCTAAAGTTATTTAAACGTAAAGTTTCATTTAAGAGTAATTTATAATTTTTGTCATGTATGTTTCACTACTTTAACTTTTTCGTCCCTTTTGAATAGCGGTTTTCATTTTCGTCCCGTATGTTTGAAAAAAAGTTACACAAAGGTCCTTTTCATACATGAAATTGAAACACTTTTTTGCAAAACATAAAGTACCCTTTTGTTGCAAAAATAACCTTTTTGTATTTTTTTTTTCAAACATACGGGACGAAAATCAAAACACAATTCGAAGAGGACGAATAAGTTAAAGTAGTGAAACATACAGAACTAAAATTGTAACTTATTCTTTCATAAATTATTAAAAGTTCTTGTATGGGATATCTTAACCGCTATCGAGTCAACTATATATATATATATATATAAAAATACATATTTATGTCGCGAAATGTCCTACTTTTATATATGTTGTTTAGTGTAATACATGTCATGCCGAAAGAATGTCGGCTATTATAAAAAATGATTGTCTAACCGTTATATCTGTCTAACAATAGTCTTACTATAATCATAATTATGACCAGTTTTAAACACTAAATTAAACCTATATCAACACTGAATAAAAAGTAAATTATTACTAAATAAATCATTAATATTTAGTGTTGATTAGTTAGTGCAAAGTATACAAATTGAAAAGTGAATGAAGTGAGTAAAGATATATAGTATAATTAATAAATAAAACAACATTAAAATGTATAGTCAATAAATTAAACAACATTCAAACATAAATAAAATATATAGTTAGAATATTAAATAAAGCATAAGATTACATATAAAAGGTGAAGATAACTACAAAATATATAATAATGGATAAAATATATGATGTTTAGAAAGACAGACTTATTACATCCCCACTAAATAAATACTAACTAATTATTAACTTACTAAGATAAATATCTACTCCCCTAATCATGCTCTTAATATGGTAATAAGTTCATAAACCACTGACTATGTAGAAATGAAAATTTGACAAAATTTGTGCTAAATTACTCTACCGGGCTAAATTAAAATATATATATCTAAAACGGATAGGCTGCAGAGAGGTGCCACCTGGGCTACAACCCGGGCACTCAATTAAGTGGCTCCGCCCCTGGTGTCGACCAAGGCCGTCAGTGCGGGTTTACACATTTTGTCGTGTTCGAACCAAGGCCGTCAGTGCGGGTTCTTACACAAAATCGAGTCTCGATACACGATCTTCATTATTGGTGCTTTCATTGAGAGTGATCAATCATGTATCTTTTCTATCTCTTTCTTTTTCTTCTTTCTTTTGATTTTTTTTTTGAGTGTCAATCATAAGTCAAAAAAAAAAAAAGGCAGAGAGTTCTATAGGCGTAGGATTTAATTCCTAATGGTGAGAAGATTTTATTTCCTTTTGTTTGAGTTACTTGATCGCAACAATAGTAGGACAAAAAATTAATAATAATAATAAAATGGTTGATTGAGTTTCCTTTGCATGAGTGTGAGGATTAAAAAAATGTTGTATTTAGATGAGGGTGTTTGTCCGTGAGGTCTGATCGTAAGAAAAAAAAAATAAAAAAAAAAATTAGTTTGTTGAGAGGATTTGCGAGAAGATCCACGTTTTTGGTGAGCTAGGGGCGAAAAAAAAAGTGAAGAAGCAGTGGAAAAAAATACTTCAAGAGGAAGTTGTTTATTTTATTATTATGAATCTTGCGCCGGAGGAAACGTCATGAGGAGAATGATTCGAAGATCATGTCCTCGAGGACAAGGACAAACTCGAAGGGGAAGGGAATGATGAGAACCGAACTTTTGAGTGGACACGGACCGTAGTGGCGGGAGTAGTTAATATTATTTATGTTGGTTAAGTAATTAGATAGGATTATTATGTTAGTTATAGTTTAAATATTTGAATGGTTGGTTAGGATAAATTTGAATATTTGAATGTTTGTAATATAAATAGGACCTTTGTATGCATATTTGGAATCAAGTTTAAAGTAATAAAAATTAAGAAAAAGGCTCGTTTTCGAATACTTTCTTCGTGAAAAATCGAGGCCGATAGTTCAGGTTTTTCACTTATTAATGTGTCGACCAAGGCCGTCAGTGCGGGTTTACACATTTTATCGTGTTCGAACCAAGACCGTCAGTGTGGGTTCTTACACAAAATTGAGTCCCGATACACGATCTTCATCAGTATCTTTCAGGGTCAAAATTAAATAAGTGCAAAACGATTTTAACAAAAATTCATGCGACAAAATCTGGAAAATTAAGATTTTGATGATATATATATGTCTTCCCAATTCTCCTCTCTGCGGTTATGAGTAAGTTGTTCTTCGCTTGATTTTACGCTTCCTATACTTGAGGTTTTGCGTTTTGGAATTTTTTTTGAATTGGGTGTCTGAAGTTTTCTGATTGAGTGTTTTGAATGTGTGTGTTGAATTTTTGTGCTCGCCTGTTAATCGTTGTAGATTTCGTCCTCTCTCTTTGAAATTCTCTCGGAATCCCTGTTCCCCTTCTTCAAAATCGCCCTTTTCATGGAACCCTAATTTTGAAAATCTCCTCCTCCTTCCACTTTCATTTTTTGCCTAAAATTCTTCTTTTTGATATTGTTCCTTTCTTTTTTTTTTTTCAGATCCTGCTACCTCGACCACCTCCTCTGATTCAGTTGAGATATTGCCTTCTGCCCTTGAAGCTGTTCCTCTCTCTATCCTCCGCCCCAGCGATACTGTTCCTACATGCATTTTCACAGCCCGTGTTGCTTCTTCCAACTCCGGGGATACTATGGATAATATTCCTCTCCGCCGCCGTCGACCTGCTCTCGGCGCGTTAGACGAGCCAGAGGAGGACGAGGTCCTTTCTGCTCAACCCACTTCTGCTCCCTCTTCGACCATTCCTCCTTCTACCTCTCAGCCTGGTACTTTGAACTCTCATTCCGACAAAATCTCGACCAAAAACCCCCGCAGAACTGCCACTAAGCGCCCTTCTCTCTCCCATGTCTGGTATTCTCCTGAGAAGATATATATATATATATATATATATATATATATATATATATATATATAGTTTTTGTGTAACAGTAATTATTAGTTTAAGATTGAAAATGAAAGTTTTGATTTTTTGAAGAGTGACAATTTCATTCAATTAGGCTTAGAGGTCGGTAGGAGCTCGTTGGTGGAAATAATTAGACTATATTTATCCACAACCCAACCCAACCCAATAATAAAAAATTATTTCTCTCTTCTCCACCTACACAACCCAACTTTTAACAACCTATATATCTTTATCCCCAACCCAACCAAATATATATTTATTTTATTTTTATTTTTATTTATTATTTATTAAATATTATATACAAAACATTTTTTTATTATTTTATCTTCCATTCAACTCAACATAATAATTTCAATTGTGCTACAAAATATAACAAGAGTGGTCTCTATTTATAGAGAATGAAAAATAAGAATTTTGATATATTTTATTTTATTTTTTAATATAAAACAATATCTATAATTTGAGTTATAGTTATCTTAACATATAATATTTATAATGACCAATAAGAATGGGACAAGTGTCTCATTCCTCTCTCCTTTATCTAAAGAGAATGAAATTAAAAAAAAAAAAAAAAAAAAAAAAAAAAAAAAAAAGAAAGTTGCGACCCAAGGTCACAATGTGAAATCAAATGGGAGAGGTCACCAATAAAGATAGTCTTAGGCTCGAGTTATGGTCATTGGATGACCTTACTATACTCGACCTGATACAGTTTATCAAGTGATATGTCAGTGGTAATCGATCTAAAAATCACAAAATTTTGAACTGAGAATTTTTTTTTAAAAGAAATGAGAAATCTAACATATCTTGAAAGAAATCTCTTCCGAATTTGGTGAGATTCTCAGCATATCACAATTTAGTGCAGAGTTACTGCAAACTCAACACTTTCAATCGATAGCTACTGCAAAGTATACAGTTTTTCCGAATTGTTACCTGTTTTCAAAACCCGTAAAATGTACAGCCTTCATATCAGGTGTCACACTTCTGCCTCCGTGCAGCAGCCTGTCGGCATAGGAAAAAAAATATATATATAAATGTTTTAAAAGAAACACGCAATACCTGTAAGATGAGTAAAAAATCGCCAACACGAAAAAATATAATAAGAAAGATAAATTTGATTCACGAGAATTGCCAAATATGCACACCCAAAAGTAGCCTTAACAAAGGTAACAAACTCAAAACACCAAATCCCTAAAAGTATTAATTGATTAATACTTAACAGCAGTAACATATCAGTTTCAAACCTTTCTCATTTTCTCTAGAATCGAATCTTCGCGTGCTTGATATCCAGCACCAACAAGATTGCTCGATTTTGGGCCATCGGCCTCATTTTTCTCCCCACTAAAAACGACTGGTTGTAGAGGCAAAACTAACAGAGGATTCGAAAGATTACCCAACACATTCCCAATAGTAGCAACCTGCCCCAACAAAAAA